GTCCAGCTATCTCATTTTTAGCACTATCATGTTCAAACCTTATTTTTGTGAACAGGTAGGATACAGATCCTAAGTAAACTATCACCGCATCAAATCCAGTGATTCATTCAAAAGATCATAACCAAGTAGAGTTTATTTTAGGATCAACAAAGATGGTTCAACGTGAGCAAATCTATAGCTATAATTCGCCGCCTTTAAGAGATTAGAAAACTATGTGCCTATTTCCAAGTGCTGAAAAGGCACTTGATCGAAATTCATCACCGGATTTTGACACTCTTGGTAAGCCAGGAATAATAGATGGTAAACAAAGCATTTCAGGCCACTGGGCAATGTGTCAAACTGAGGAGCCCCTGGGGTCATCCTAGCCTATGATAAATCACTAGAGAATAAGAAAAGGTAGAAGAAGTTCTGGGAGCAGGTACCTGTTCTCAGTAGATAGCATTTTATCGACATAGTTTTGGTCTATTGTTTCCATGGCCTGCATTTGCTTTAGATCTTTTGCTTGTTTTTTTTGTGTTGTTGCTGTTTCACATTAATCCAGTATTTTAAATGAATGGGGCATATTTATTGTTCTATTTAATGATTCTTTTGGGGTAAGAAGGTTTTGATCTACCATTTAAATGTCATGAAATTATTTTTAGACGTTCCTTGAGTTCATGAAGGTAACATGTAAATTTTTCACACTGACTATCAGACTACTTTTAATTATATATTGCCTTCATAAATGCAACCATTATGAATTCTAAAGGCTTAGCCTGAAGCTGTTGAAAATCATCTGCTTAATCTTGTCATATTTCACACATCAGCTTCATTGCATGGCGTCTTTCCCCGGCTACTTAATGTCAATCTCCTAGCCCTTATAGGTGAATGTCACAGCCACTAAATTGGGTGTCAGGGGCACCGTGGCCCTCAGCTTTCTTACAGTCCCCACATCATACAAATGCTGCTGCTATGATCAGAACAATGAGCAGTCAGTTATTTTTTCCAATGTCAAATGACTTTGGGGGAGCAAGCAAGCTGCAGTCTCTCTTTGTAAGCCAGTGTCATATTTGCATGACTAACAGTGAAGTCAGAGATGCAGTCCTGTGACCAGAGGACAGAGTCCTCTGCAAAAGTGACAAGCCTATGTTGACAATCAATGACTCTTGGTTAAGGAACATTTCATTAATATCTCTGGGTGGAGGTGAGGGAGAGGATACAGGAAGACAGAAATCCAGATGAAATTAAAGGGTGTCACCAGGGAAGCGGTCACATGGTTCAGGGAGAGTATTGTGCCTTATTAATGGCTTTTTCTCAGCTGCCTTCCGCATATATACACACCAGCATGGGACCTACTGTGTCTGCCTCTGCGAAGTGTAGTCCACGACCCCCCTTTCCCACCTATCTCCACTCACTGTCAGACTAGTCTATAGTCTCTAGCGCCTCAGAAATGTTGATGAATAATTATTTTTTCCTTCCTATGACACTATTCTTCCTAGTCCCCACTTCAGAGTGCCAGAGGCTGAATCTGTGGCCTATACCCTGCTGTGTTGGTGATCAAATGTGAGAGGCAACAGGCTGCCTGGGAAATGATAGTGGTCCACCCTGCTTATTTAACAGACTCGGCTGTCACAGTGCCAGGCCGAGTGTAATGTCAGGGCTCAGCATTTTCAGTGCCAGCCCCTGAGTAGCCCCTTACCCTCCATATTTAATTATGTGAAAAAGAGTAAGCATTCAGTGCATTACAGTCTGCTTCTATGAGAGGAAGTCTAGGATTGGTTGCTACTGTATTTGGAAAGCAGCTCAACTCCATAGGGTGAAATGTCTGCCTTCTCATAAGCCGATTGCAAGTTCCAGCATTATGCTTAAGTGGGCTGCTGTCAGAAAGAAACCTTGCCTTGTTACTCTGAGCAAGGAGGCACATACAAAAATATCCCAACACACAGCCATTCTCATTAAAGTCAGTTGGAATTTTGGACAAGTCTTAAGTATAAATTATAACTTTATTAGCTCATAGAGCTTTCTCACGAGAAAGTAAATCTAATAAAAATTAGAGGGAACTTATTAAGTGGCTGCCTTGTTCCTATTTGCTATGACTTCGTGGGAGGGGTGGAATAATATAATTGTGGGGTTTGCAGCCAATGCACTTTTTTCGTGTGGACTAGAGAGTAATTCAGAGAGCAGATACAAGGAGGTGAAAAGAGTATGTCTCATTATCATTGCATGGAGAACTGTTTAATTGATACTTTATGTAAGCATTTCCTGCCACAGAGTTGGGAAGATCTTTAGCTGTTACTAAGAGGGGAAAAGCAGGCTCCAGACCACCATTGGAGATCACCAGGGCATACTACGTATTCACAAAGCTGCACAATCACCTCCTGGAGAAGGGATTGTAGGGGAGCTCGCCAGGCTTACAGCTTACAAAAGGCAGATCCTGGCAATGGTAGGGAAGGAGTTGATGGCTTTAAGGGAACTTATAATCATTGCCATTGTGATTAGTTATTAATCAAGCCATATAAATGTTGTCAAGAGAACCAGAAACACTGTTATTGTGCACACCAGCATGGCTCTAAGTGTGCTTTCTCACCACCTGATTTTTCCAACATGAGATACAGTGCTGTCTTTGACTTTCTGGTTGGATTGCCAACTTGCACTAGTCAAATGCAATCTTGAAAGAATGCACTTTAGAATCGTAGAGTGAGTGCTAAAGGGGGATTATAAAAGTGATCTAGTACAGAGGTCCTTAATCTGCCATCTTCATTTCAGGAACACCCCCTAGAATTATATATAAAATTTTGTGTGCAGAAGCATTTTTCTAGGAAGAAGTTCCATAGCTTTTATCAAATTCCTAATAAAAGATTCCCTGACCCAGAAAGGTGTAAGAACCACTAATTCTAGCCCATACTCTGTTCTCCTCCCACGCACACACACGCGTGCACGCACAAGCACCAGTGAAGGACACAGCTCCCAGAGATGGAGATTTCAGACAGCAATGATTTGTGCCACAAGTGTAACCTGAGCTAGGGTACCTTTGAGATCCTTTTCTTCACTGAAATTCTGTGTTTCCATCCACCTTAATAGAGAACAGCACTGACACAGATGATCCCAAATTAATTTCCACTTAGAAATTACTTCCATTTCATGATTAGTCTTTCCCACTCGCCATTGAACTCAGTTGCTAATAATGCTTCGTTAGGGGCTAATCATGAAATGAGTTTGTGTGAGTTCCATGAGCCTCACCAGCTGATGGCAGGGTAGGAGTGCATCGCCATGAGGAACAGCTACATAATTTGCCAGGCCCAGTTTTAGATGAAAACACAGAGCCTCCTGTTAAAAATTATTAAGGATTTCAAGACAGTGACAGAATTAAACCAAGTGTGGGGCCCTTCTAAGCATGAAGCCCTGTGAGACCGCAGAGGTCACACACCCATGGAGATGGCCCTGATCCCTACTGAAGCTTTGGTGGAACCAAGGACAAAGAGAAGCCAGTTCTGATTTAAAATTGGCCACAGCCCGACCAGCCTGGCTCAGTGGTTGAGCATCAACCTATGAACCAGGAGGTCACAGTTCGAGTCCCCATCAGGGCACATGCCCAGGTTTTGAGCTTGATCCCCAGTAGAGAGTGTGCAGGAGGCAGCCGATCAATGACTCTCATCAGTCATGTTTCTATCTCTTGCTCTCCTTCTCCCTTCCTCTCTCTGAAATCAATAAAGATATATTTAAAAAAATAAAAATAAAAAAATAAAATTGGCCACAGATGATCCACAAAATGAGAGAGTTCTGTATTCCTCATCACAAGGACTTTTTGGCTTATCTGTGCATGCTCTCACACATGCACATGCAAATGCACACATACATCAGTTTGACTAAAAATACCATCTTTTCCCTGCATCTAATGCCAAAAGCCAAAACTGGCTCGCTTTAATTTTTCATCTGTGGGTCTACTGTGCACACATTTTCATCACCAGTTCCCATCACCAAACGATAAAAGAAGGAATGAATTCTCCAGGGGCATCTAGAGAGTCCGGTAGAAGCAGGTACTCGAAAGCAATGGCAGACGACCAGCTAGGGATATTTTAAGCTGCCAGAAAGGGGGAAAGAAGCTTCTGGGTATGAAGTGTAATGAGCCAATAGTCTCGGTTTTTGAACATTATGAGGACAAAAAAGCATTTTAAATTTAAGAATCAGAAATCTGAGGTTCTAACAGCTAAGCAGGTTTACCAAGTGAGACAATGGCTAGGACTTGGTGTACTTGAGCTCTGCAGACTTCAGTAGAGTAGAGTCACCCAAGCTCCTACATTCCACACTTCTCATTTTAGTGGCATACCAGGGTTCCAAGTTTAATGCACAACATCTGTGCTTCATAAGACTGGAAGCCAAATGCTGGGTGATGTCCCATTGGTTAGCCATGTGCAGAAATCAAAATATAATGTTCACAATGTGAAGTTTACACTGGAAGCGCTTGCAACACTCTAGGGAAACTCAGACTCCTCGACAAACTAGAGGCCAGTTAGCACAGGAGAGAGTATAAATTGGGTAAATCAATTTTTATTAGTCTCATGTAGTCTGTTGTTGTATAAGGGACCCAGTACCCCAAAGTCAGCTTCCTAAGTGCATTTTGCACTGTAGGGAGAGAAGAAACCAGCCCTCCTTGCACCTCTTCTACAAAGGTAGAGAAAGAAATCATGTCACCACAGCTTAAGCTTTCAGAGAGCTTATTTCTCCAGTTTTACAACACAACCTCCAGCCCAAAAGCCCCTATCAAAGCTAAATGCCTGTAAACATGTGTCAGATGCCTAATGACAGCAGCCATCCACTCACTCATTCATTTAGCCAATACACACTGACTGATCACTTGGGGATGCCCAGTGCTATGCTGGGCGCTGGGCTGCACTGTGCTAAGTGAAAGGCATTTGCCGTCAAAATTCAGTAGCAAATGCAACATCCACAGAGTGATCAACAGGAAAAATGAAAGAAATTTTTTCAGTTTTTCTAATGTGTTATTAACTCTTTGTTTGCAGTGTCTGTGGGATATGAATATGAAATCTGCCCTGACTTTATTCTCTGGGAGAAAAGGACAGTCGTCTTACAAGGTTTTGAGATGGATGCTTCTAACCTAGGAGGCTGGTCATTAAATAAGCATCATATTTTCAATCCTCAAAGTGGTAAGCAGCTTTTAAAATATTGCTTAATACTGTTTTTCCTAATGCCATACACACACACACATATGCATATGTAATACATATTCAGTGCAGAAAATTTGGTAAATTACAAGGGGGAAATTACCTGTAAGTTCATCACCTGGAGATGGACCACATTAGTTTATTTCCTTTCAGATACAATAATCTGATTTCCAATTACTGCTAGCACAGTGAGACCTCTTCATCACAGTTACATGAAACTGGGTTTTACTATCATTATTGCTCTATCCCAAGTGATTAACAAGTTTATCTGACATTGTAACCGACTTTTGAAAAGTAGAATAATAATTGGCAGATTTCATCTAATCTGAGATGCCGTCAATTATAAGTGCACCATTATTTTATGGAAACTGCTGCTATGACATGCTGGTTGTAAGATGCATACTTATTTCAGAGATGTTTACATGTGAAGCAAAATGTGTACCTGAGAATTAAGTAGTCACGTATATAATAGTTTCAAAGGCTTTTGTGAACTCTGTCCCATTTTGAACACAGCAGCCCTGCAAAGTGACATTAACCGCATTTGAAAGGTCAAGAGTCTGAGACTTAGATGGGTCATGTGACTTTCCCCAACGTTGCAGTCAGTCCGTGGCTAGAGTCATGTGCTCTCTCTCCTGTACCGTAGCTGTTTACCTACACAAATGTCAGTATATCCAGTAAGAAGCTAGGAATAAAGGGACAGCAATGGGTAAAGAACAAGAAGAGGTAGGAGGGAAACAGTACTGTCCTGGACTTCACAGCTTTAAGGCTCCTTAACTCCTGGACTTAGGAAAAGAGGAAAAAGCAATGAGAACAACACTCTCTCATTTTCAGTATTTACCTTCTTTGAACCATATTTCCTGCTGTCACTTTCTCCTAGTTTGTAATATCAACATTAAATAAATCAGAAGGGACCGAGGGTGGCCCTTCCACCCAGGTGTCTCTCACACAAACTGATTTTGCTATCCTGGTCATAAATGCTTCACCCCAGTTCCTCCACCTTCATTTGTATCTTACTGGGAAACCAGTCATTGTTGTTTCCGGCCAGCTTTCATTTGAACATCTGCTGGTAAGTTTTCACTGGGAAATCACATTCCTTTTCATCCAAAGGGGCAGATTCTGAGCAGCCTTCAGTAGAACATGTACTCTGGGTCATTTGTCCAAGATCGGGGTGCAAATGTATTGAGGCAGCTACACTCTTGCATTTGGCCATCCTTGTATCCATCTTGCCTTTATGGATCAGCTGGCTAACGTCCAGTTATCTTATAAGGTCATGAATTGACTGAGGCTAAGAGATTCATTTAATAATCAAACCTATGTTCTTACTTCGTTTCCACCATAGTTGGATCAGCCAAGCCAAACAGCCACCACGTAGGCTGGGAAATTTGGGTTGGCAAAGCTAACCAGGTTCCCTCCAACTGTAGAATGAAACCACCCACCACAGTCCCAGTGTGGGATCTTGAAGGTGAAGGAGTCCATTGCTGTGTGCTCCCACTGTACCTCCTTCCCCCTTTTCAAGGAAGATTCTAAATTCTATTTCAATTTGTTTATTTTTTGTAAGAGCAAAGACTCAGGCACAGATATAAAATGTCAACTTCTTTTTCGTTGTCAAAAGGAGAATCACAGTTTTAAAAGTACAAAAACGAAAGGGCAGATGCCACTTCTTAAATTATTAGATTTTTTTGTTTTGATTTGAAAGAGTTTGACATTTTAAGCAGCCCTTTCTTTCCCACTCACTTTTATTGGCTTGTATGGATTGTCTCCTTCAAATGCCTGTCATTGACATTAAACACAAAATGGGAAATGACCTCAATGGAGCCAGCCCCCAGCTGTGTGCTCCCAGTCCTCTGTCCTCTTACCATTTGCTTCATGCGGGCTTAGACATTCAGAACAGAGGGGAGCCATTCAGAAAGTTGGCTTTGGGCTCCTCCTCCCATTTTCACAAATGTATTCTCCACACTTCTTATTCACCAATAATTAGTTTTTAGGCACAGGTACCAATTTACTTCTGAGAATCTTTTTAACAGATTTATTGAAGTATAATTTAGACACCATAAACTTCACCCATTTTAGGCGTACACTCCAGTGACTTTTAGTAAATCATGAAGTTGTACATTCATCACAACCCAGTTTCAGAATATTTTTATCACCCCAAAAAGATCCCTGTGCTCACAACCCAGCCTCACTAAATCTGCTTCCTATCTCTTTCTGAGAATTTTTAAATTTTTTTATGATTTTATTGATTTCAGAGAGAGGAAGGGAGAGGGAGAGAGAGAGAGAAACATCAATGATGAGAGAGTCATTGATCAGCTGCCTCCTGCATGCCCCTGACTGGGGATGGAGCCCGCAACCCAGGCCTGTGCCCTGACCGGGAATCGAACCGCGACCTCCTGGATCCTAGGTCAGTGCTCAACGACTGAGCCACGCTGACCCGGCTCTTTCTGAGAATTTTATTCTGAGAAAGAAACTTTACTTTGGAGAGTTTTTTTAAAGGATCATTTGTTCATTTTATCATCTCATTTGTAGGCACATTTTATTTCTAACCAAAAACTGGTCACACTTGCCAGGAACAGATCTGAAGCCAGTTCTGCCATTGCCTTTCAGCCTGACCTCCCTTGGGATGTTTTCAAAGTCTAAATCCCACCCACAAGGACAGTTTTAAAAGCAGGGATGATAAGTGTGAGTGAGGGAGCAGCTTTGGGAAGACCAATTTAGAAAGCAATGCTCTTTCCCCCTCAGGTCAGACAGTCTTTTCTGACTGATTAAGGCAAGAGCGTCCTCTCTTCAGATTACCTCACTCCACTTCTTTCTGGAAAAAAATGTGACTCTTTAGGCACCCTGCTTTTTTGATCTGAGACAGATAGCAGATTAGAAACAAGAATCTAGCTTCCCCCAGTTTCCTCTCACTGGTTAAAAAGACACCTGTAATTAGATTGGATGTCTGCTGCCATTCAATTCTTCAGTTTTGCTTTGGCTCCTCAATCATTATGCAGTGAGTAGTTCCTAGTAGGCAGTGTTTTCAGACCATTTGTCATTTCACTTGCAGCAATTATATTTACCTGACAATTAACCACTGGTTGTGGAGAACTATTTCCAAATATTGTGCCTGATACATATATATATATATATATATAGAAAGAGATGGTTCCTACTTTCACTGAGATAAATACCAGGAACTTGTGTTTTTAAATATTATTCCTTCAAAATACATCTTCTCAGTGATTACAGAGATTGCATATTCATTCCTTTTAAGATAAATCAGTTCTTTAAAATTGTGTGAAATAAAAATGTGTACATGAATCCATCTATTACAGAGCTGAGCTATTTGTTGTAGTCTGTCTTTACATCAAACATATCCCCTAATGTTTCCTGCAATTGAGTGTTAAAATTATTCCAGAGAACAATCCAGAGTGCTAATTGGGTCTTGTCATCTCTCTGAAATAGATGAAGGATTTTCTTTAACTNGACTGAGCCACGCTGACCCGGCTCTTTCTGAGAATTTTATTCTGAGAAAGAAACTTTACTTTGGAGAGTTTTTTTAAAGGATCATTTGTTCATTTTATCATCTCATTTGTAGGCACATTTTATTTCTAACCAAAAACTGGTCACACTTGCCAGGAACAGATCTGAAGCCAGTTCTGCCATTGCCTTTCAGCCTGACCTCCCTTGGGATGTTTTCAAAGTCTAAATCCCACCCACAAGGACAGTTTTAAAAGCAGGGATGATAAGTGTGAGTGAGGGAGCAGCTTTGGGAAGACCAATTTAGAAAGCAATGCTCTTTCCCCCTCAGGTCAGACAGTCTTTTCTGACTGATTAAGGCAAGAGCGTCCTCTCTTCAGATTACCTCACTCCACTTCTTTCTGGAAAAAAATGTGACTCTTTAGGCACCCTGCTTTTTTGATCTGAGACAGATAGCAGATTAGAAACAAGAATCTAGCTTCCCCCAGTTTCCTCTCACTGGTTAAAAAGACACCTGTAATTAGATTGGATGTCTGCTGCCATTCAATTCTTCAGTTTTGCTTTGGCTCCTCAATCATTATGCAGTGAGTAGTTCCTAGTAGGCAGTGTTTTCAGACCATTTGTCATTTCACTTGCAGCAATTATATTTACCTGACAATTAACCACTGGTTGTGGAGAACTATTTCCAAATATTGTGCCTGATACATATATATATATATATATATAGAAAGAGATGGTTCCTACTTTCACTGAGATAAATACCAGGAACTTGTGTTTTTAAATATTATTCCTTCAAAATACATCTTCTCAGTGATTACAGAGATTGCATATTCATTCCTTTTAAGATAAATCAGTTCTTTAAAATTGTGTGAAATAAAAATGTGTACATGAATCCATCTATTACAGAGCTGAGCTATTTGTTGTAGTCTGTCTTTACATCAAACATATCCCCTAATGTTTCCTGCAATTGAGTGTTAAAATTATTCCAGAGAACAATCCAGAGTGCTAATTGGGTCTTGTCATCTCTCTGAAATAGATGAAGGATTTTCTTTAACTTGGCCTCCAAGATAGGCCACCAGTGTGTCAACAAATGGTTTTACTGGGAGAGGAAGTAAATTTCCATTGATCACACTGGCATATCTCCCAGTTTGTGTTTATATCCTCTCAGTCAAGTCCTAAGAGAAATATGTATTGTGTCCCTTGTTGTTCATAAGTCTGAAAAATGGTTCCTTCTTTGAAATCAGTGTAAAGCACCACCCACTGGCTTCCAGGGGGAATTTTTATTTCAAACTTATTCATAAGCTTCAAAAGAAGTTCTGAGCAAGGTAGCAAGAGGATATGAGTAGTGTGTTTAAAAGTATGCTTCACTTATTACATAACAGAGTTTGCTTTTGGGGGCAGAGAAAAGAGAAACTTAGGAGAGAAAATGTGCAGTTGGCTCCATCCAGTGGGGTTTCTTTGTTGACTACAAACAAGACACCGAATCCTTAGCAGAAAGTCGGCCTTCCTGTGAATAATGCGTGTTGTCCTGGGATCATTTGATTCTGTTTCCAAAACGAGCACGTATGGCAGAATAAACTGGAAGGGAGGCAGCTGTAATTGATCAAGATTTCCAGGAACATAAACCAAATATTTTCAAAGCAACCTTTTGCAGAAGAATTGGTGTTAAATCATTGTTGCTAGATGGTATGCCTTGGTTCTATGTAATGGAAGGTTAAACAGATTCTCAAAACAACAAAAACACCCTTCAAAATGATCTATTTTTCCAGGGCAGTGCAAAAGGGGTTTGCCCATTTTTGTTTTGATTGCTTCAGCTTTAAACAGGAATGGTAATTTCAGTACACGGGCACTTTAGTACCTTGCATGAAAGCAAGACATCAATTGTTGAGATGTAATCAGAAAGTACATTGCCTTATGTTTTATTTCCTTTAATCATTCTTCTGCTTTGATGGAGTACTGGGCTTTCTAATAGAAAAGGGGAGGTTTAGAATTGCAGGCTTAGAAGAATGCTTTAAAATAGCCATCTTTCGTTTTTAAATTGCCAGGAGCCTGGTAATAACATGTCATTTTGAAGGTAATTGTTAACTATACCGTTACATTGATATAAAAAAAAAAAAAAGGAGATCTACCTGGGAAAATAGATGTTAATAGCAAATCTGATATTTCCAAGGCAATAATTGGAAATATTTTTGAGTGATATATCCTATAGTGCATGGCTGAAATACTGGCACGCTAAACGATTGGTTTCTTCACTTACTAGAGCACATATCACAGTCTCATTGGTAGGATATCCAGTTAGTGATCATCAGGAGATTTCTTTTCACTGATGTTGTACAGTGAATGAGAACTGTCTTTCCAGTTCTCATTCACTTCCTCCCAATTCATTTAAATTACAGTATCGATCACACTGCAGTTACGTGTTTTGGGGAAATGAGATTCAGTCCTATTAATCTTACTTAATTAACTATTCTAAATCTTGAGAAAATTTTTTTACTGCCTAATAAAGTTATCAATAAAATTAATAAAGTCATGATCTTCACGATATCTCATAGTTCTGCAATAAAAGACCAATTTGTTGGGGCATAAACTCATAACTGCTCCTGCAGGTCATATGTTGAAAAAGATAGCCAGGAATCACTTTGGGAGGGAAAGTAAAGGTACTTAGCTATGAAATCCAAAGGCTCTATGACGTATGGGATTTCCATTTTCTGGAAGGCCCCTTCCAGGCACATATTTGGTGCCATGGTGTTGTGCGTGTTTTACCCCTTATTTATTTTTACCAACAATGTTTCTATTTCAGAGAGATCAGTAGTTTTCATTGTAGGACTGTGGGACCAAATGTTGGAAGAAAACTGAGGAAGACATTTTAGAAAATGTTTAGGGAGAGTTACAGGCAGTCCGAGGAGATAGATAGCAGCGGTCATGGGAGAAAAAATAAGACTGTACAAGATGAGTGCATTCATTCATTTGCTGTCAGTTACTTCAGTCTGACCCACTGGTATGCCTCTCACAGTGTGGATGCTTCACCTGCCCTGGCTCTTTCTGAGCCTACCTGAGCAATTTATTTAGCACAGCAGCATCTGCTCCTTGGATTATCTGCCCAGGCTTAATAGGTTTGTAAAATCACTGGGATTTGGACAAGGAGACTACGAGAGACTCAAAGCCTCTTGTCAGCATTTGCTGAGCACTTCTAATGACTTGGCCACAGGCATTGGCACTAAAGTGCAGAAAGGAGTAAGACAGGGTGTCTGCCTTCAAGGAGCTCACGCTCTCATGGGGAAGACAGAGCAGTAATGAAAAAGGAATCCTGCAGTGTGGTAAGTGTAAGGCTAGAGCTGTGCAAAGCAAATGTGGGCGCACACAGGAGGGAGCAGCTAATTCCGCCTGGACGGGACACTGGGGGAGAACCGGCCTGAGCTCTGAAGGATAGGTAAGCATTGCCCAAGCAGACAAGACAAGGAGGGCATTTGGAATAGAGGGAATGGCACGTACAAAAGCGGAGAGGCATGGGACTAGGTGAGAATAATTGCAGAGTCCACTGTAGCTAAAACTCAGCATACAAATGAGACGGCGATGAGAGGAGAGGCTGAACAAGCTGACAAGGGCCGAATCACGGAGGGCTTTGCATGCCTTAATAATAAGGCATGTGCCCTTGATCCTAGAGAGGATATGGAGCTATTGAACGGTTTTAAGCCACAGGCTGAAATAACCTCTGCGGCAGGTGTGTGGAAGGTGGTTTGGAGATAGGCGTACATGGAGACCAGGAGACCAAGACGTGAAGAAAAACTGAACTAAAGCACAGTGCTACGGATCGAGATGACAAAACTGGTTCAACATATTTCAAGAGATGAACCCAAAGGGGAGAGGTTAATGATTAGGATTAGAAAGTGAGGAAAACAAGAGCCACGGTGATGCCCACATTTCCAACTTAGGTAAACACATACATGGTGATACCACTTACAAGATGATTAGGGAACACAAGTGGAAGAGCAGGGTTTGGTAAGGGGTGCAAAAACTGATGAGCTTTGTCTTAAACTTGTTGAGTTTGAGGCACCTGTGGGGATCCAAGTGAAACGATACACTGTAGTAGGCAATTGCACATCAGGTGAGAACTCTGGGCAGGAGAAAATGTCAGCATGTAGAGATGGGTGTTAAAGCTGTGGGGATGGATGAGATTGCCAAAAGAGAGATTGCACAGGATCTTCCAGCATTTTCCTAGGTCAGTATCTCTATCCCATGCACCGATGATAGTGAGATACGGTCCAAAAGAGTGGAAAATTCAAGTCCCTTTCTTGTATCTTTCAAGTGCATTCTAGTGGTGTGATTTCCCTTCACAGAAGTAGATTACCTCCCTGATTGTTTTGCTAAGGTTAATATTAAAATTGACTGAGACTCCCTTTTCAGGAACCAGTTGATAGTGAGGGTAATTTGAAGTCAGGCATCTGTGTGCCTGGCATCAGGAGACAATCAGCCAGGGCTGAAAACTAAGCCACAGGTGGTTGGCAGAGCCCAGAGCGAGTAGGGCACCACTGCAAGTCGGTCATCAAATTCTTTATGGAGGCAGTTAGAGTCAGCATTAAAGGGACTAGGCGTGTTAACCCATTTCACAGATGCGCAAACTGAGGCAAAGCATTATGGTACCATTTGCGGTGGCTCTACAGTTAAACAAAACCAAGGGCGGCGTGTTGCATTCTCAAGTTCTTTTGTGCCAGTGCCGAAGCTCCTTCTTGCTTTGAACAATGAGAAAAAGATGAAAATGTTGCCGAGGAGATTACGTGGTAATTGTTTCTGTTTTACTCTCCCTCTTTTTTTTTTTCTTTCTTGGATCTAGGAATCATACATAAAGGGAACGGAGAAAATATGTTTATTTCCCAGCAGCCCCCTGTCATAGCGACCCTGATGGGTAACGGGCACCAACGGAGCGTAGCCTGCACCAACTGCAATGGCCCAGCCCACAACAACAAGCTCTTTGCTCCCGTTGCCTTAGCTGCTGGCCCTGATGGCAGTGTGTATGTTGGCGACTTCAATTTCGTAAGGCGAATATCTCCCTCGGGAAACTCTGTTAGTATTTTGGAATTAAGGTAAGTCTCTTCTAATCTTCACGCTTAGCGGATAAAGGGGAAGCAAGGATGAGATAACACGAAGAGACAAGGCATTGCCAGGAGGAGCAGAACATGCAGTCGCCCGTGTTGTAGCACTGAACTAAGATGCAGGAATTAGGGGCGAAGGACATAGGTCAGCATGCCCGCTCCTCCGACTCCAAGGACACTTTGAGCACTGCTTTGACGAACCGGGAAGTGTTGACATCCCTGTGTGTGTGGCTTTTGTTGCGTGCCAATGTGGCCATCACTGACATGGGTCTCAATACTTCCAGGTGCTCAGGTAAGTCACCCAACCCCTCTGGCCACCACAGAGACTGATCGAAAGTATCTATTCCATTCTAGCACATAGAGGTGTTGCCAGATCCAAACTTACTAAGCTCTTCAGGGCCAATCTTTTGAAGCGGTCACTTCATATTAAGAAAATGGAAGTCTGTGTTTGCGTGGCATAATAAAGAAAGAAGAGTGAGTTTTTTACCCTAAAAAGCTCTATCCCACTGGGGGGAAAAATGATTAAAGCAGTCATCTTAAAAAAAAAAAAAAAAAGGCAGTCATCCTTAGACTTTCTTACCCTGTTCTAGGAATCTTCTTGAGAGTACAAAGTATTTTGATACACCTTGAAAGGAATTCATACCTTTTGGTATTTAATATTCTGAAGTTACACAAAGATGACAACTAAGTAAACCATGGTTTAATCAGCTTTATTTATCCCTTTTGGGGCTGTAAGACACAAATATATGCCCTCTGGAGTCCTAGAAAAGGAAAAAAACCTAACTCCATCCCAACAGAGATAGACCTGTTTCCTCTCCCATGGGTAAATTGGTAGAGCCTTCCTTCTAGTTGGTTGTGGCAGCTTTAACTTTGACAAATGCCTTTAGAACAATAGGCTTAAAGTTTTTCTAGGTCCCGGAAGATTTTGATGCTATAATATATTTTGATCCTATGAAGCAGTGCATAAAACAATTGTTGCCTCAGACATTACCTCATTGACTGGAAAAATAGTAACTGGGGGAACAGAGACACTGATGGAGCGACTTGTACATACAGAGCGCCATCAAGGCTAGTCAAGACACATGAAAAGTCTTGGGTCATTTTCATTCAACACTTAAAAGCATGGAAACTTGACTACATATGGACACGCCTCGAAATTTTCAATATTCTTGTGCTTGCTTTGGAATCTACTTCCCTTTTCTCAGACTGAGTTAGTCCTTCACACCTGGCAAGGGAAATCTTCTAGTCCCATGCCCCCATCTAGTTTTCACATTAATTCACTCCAGTTTTAATACATTCCTTAATTATAATTGCAAACGCTGTCATAGAGAAGAAAGCTGTTAAATCCCTTGGCTAATAAAAAAAATAGACTGTAAAATTAAGATTTTATAAAGATAAAGCTCATCTAGAGAATCTAGAGAAGTACTAATTCATACCACCCTGCCCCAATCAAATGTTCGCGTACCTCAGGATGTCACATCTCACAGGGACTTGTCACTTCCAGCAGTATATCTCTTTGGGCAACTACTTACTGGAAAGTCAATGAAGAAGGCCAAGATGGTTGTATGCCTGGATTTAGAAATGATTTATACAACATTCTCGATTGTTTTCAAAATGCTAAGGATGTTCTGTCTACGTGATGCCAAACGTGGATGGAACATCTGAAAATTTCTAGTCATGCAAATAAGGGCTGTCAGGTAGATAGAGATCTGGTCTTGCTGAGCTTATATATGGAACCCTATAAAGCTAATCTTATATAGCCAACTTCTCAAATAAAAAACCCTTAGGATTACCTATAAAAACAAAGAAAGTATTACTATAAAGAAAGCCCCGCTAAGTTTAGTCCTTTTTATTGTAATTTAAATGCAAATTTACCTAAGGTGGAGCAATTGTCATTCATTGATGAGATTCTCCTTGGTCAAGGATCCTAAACAGTTCACAAATTTGCATTTTTGTCCAGAGCACCTTATGACCTTCAACACAAAGTCATTTGAAGAATAAAATAGAATAACTTGGACCCTAATTTCAAAGTGATTTTTTCAGTATAAAGAAAAATTAGTTTCTGACAGTGTGAAGTATTGGCCAATCCCTTTATTTAGTCTCACACCACAACACTGTTTTCTCTCATTGTCACAGCTCTTCAAACACATAGGCGTGCACACACCATGAGCTCACACTTAGTGTGAGTCCCCCTAGCTGACTCTTCTGAGCTAACATCCTCTAGATCAGCTCTTCTTAACATTTTTTTTTAAATTCTCAGACCCCTTTGAGAATCTACAGGGGTGGGCAAAAGTAGGCTTACAGTTGTTCATACGGAAAAATATATAACACAAGAGTAAGTAATAATACAGGAACAAGCTCTGTGTTTCGTGTACTTACAACTGTAAACCTACTTTTGTTCACCCTGTATTGAAGACTATGTTTGGGCCCCTTCCCCAGAAAAAAAAAACAGATTCACACAAAATTATACATGTAA